CGAGAGTCATGAGACTTGCCTGCATGGTATGAGGATTAATTCCCACCAGCTAATGCTCTGAAGATGAGAACAGCATACATTCCCAAGTGCTGCTGCTGTTGCTGTTAGACCTGTGCTCTGCCCAGGCTGCAGTAATGCACAGGTCAGGAGTCCATAGTGAGAGTCATTTATGTCATTGGTGTTTGTGTGACATCCTTCTTCTAGGAGGATCCCAAAGGGATCCACTGTTGTCTGCCTGGAGGGACCCACATCTACCATGTAGTCACCAGGAAGCTGATGGGCATGGGCAGGAGGGTTCCCTCCCATGCCCATGGCCCATAGAAGGCCTGATCCAGGGTAAAGCTACTGCATTTTTTGAAAGAAGGCTTTAGAGGACACCTGTGAGCATCCAGAGAGCCCCAGAGTAAACCAGCTCCCCTAAAGCATCCCTGGAACGCACAGGCCAGTGAGTCAAACTTATTTCTGGCATTTGCTCTCGCTCAGCAAGTTGCTGCTTTCAGGGAACAGAGGGGTAGAAAAATAAAGCTTGGGCCACATCACAACTCCCTGTTCCCGAAGTTGCTCTTCATCATCACTGTGTGGTTTTCACAGATGGCAAACCCTCCTGCAGTGGCATGAGCCACAGCACTCTAACTCCGCTGCTGGCATGCCTAGCTGGGGATGACAGGGGCATGGAGGCTACCAAATCTGTCTCCCTAAGAAATATCTATCATCTGGATCATTTTTTAGATAAAAGGAATATGTTTGCTTCTGAGGTTTGAAAGCACAGGCTGCCACGGCCAAACACGAGCTCCTTGCCTCTTCCCATCAGATGGACATCTGGGATGGCCTGAGCCTGTGGCACAGACAGGATCCTATAAGATGTGTCAAATGAGGGTTTGCTGCCCAGAGTCTGGTCTGAAAGAGTCTTTCTGTCTTTATCCTCATGTGGGAAATGCATCCTTTAATGCAGACATTGACAATGCAATGACCACATCAATAATTGTCCAGATTACCTGCGCCAATCCAAGAGGGTCACGACATCACTCACTGCCTTTCTGTAAACCAACACTGCCAGCTTTTGCCCAGTGCAGCACCTTTCATGCACAGCATCAGGGCCCATTTTCACTACCAGAGCTGATTTTCAGTGTCAGCTTTTACCTGCAGTATCTGTATGTGCTGACTGTGAATGTTCACAGGTTGAAGTCAAGACATTGCTGGAATAAAATCCTCACCATCTCACCTGCAGAGTGGCAGCACCAGAACTGTGCCCTCTCCCCAGTGCACCCTGTGGCCACTTTGCAAGGTCACTGTGTACTCAGTTTGTCCCCAAAATACAGTTTTTCCCTTTGACACTGTGCTGTGGTGAATCCCCCCTGGCTCCAACCAGCAATGGGCAATGGCAGAGCCACCCTCTGTTGTTCCTGTGTGCCTTGAGATAAAATTCATTCTTTGGCATGAAAAGCCCAACCTTGAAGGGATTCAAGGCTGGGGAGGTGGCTTGTGTCCTGGAGCTCCAGGAGGGTGCATAAGAGCCTGCTTAGATGTCTGTGCAACACACATGCACACGTTCACACCAGCCAGTTTCAAGCAGTCAGTAATGCCGGCTGTGACAGACATGCTGCAGGCAAGGGCCCTGCAGGATCCACCACATTGGTGTAGAGAGGGGAATGTTCTCCTTTCACAGCTAAACATGCCACTTTTAACCCTTCTGCTGCCAATTCCCAGATCTGCAAACACGGAGCCACAATCGGTTACAGATTTACCAGCTTTGAATAAAACCAAATCCAACGCCTCCACCAGTTCCTTTGCAAATCCCTGCACCTTCCTAGCCATCTGAATGGGTTTATCCTTGCTTCATTAACCCCTGCATATCAATTGCCTGTGGAGGACTGAAGGCAGAATTTAAGCACCTGTGGTACCTGCAAAGTAAAGGCTGAAGTAAAGGAAGGAGGCTGCTGCCCCTCAACACCCCAATGTGGCAGCACCTGTGGGAGAAGCCCTCAAAAAAGCCCCCTTGACCTGCTGTGTGCAGGCAATTGCTACTGCACCTGGCCAGTAGGAGCTGAGCAGCTCATCCACAAGCAGGTCTATTTTGATCTCTGGGGAAAGGGCCCATGCTCTGGAGCAGTAGCTCTGTCTGTGCCACCATTTCTAAAATGTCAGTTCCTGCAGCTGGTCCAGCCTGGCTAACCCTGGCTCTGCCTATGTGTTTCTGTGCCACGAGCTTCACTCTTGGGTTTTTTGTTGGTTTTTTCTCAATCCTACAATATTTTAGCTTTGATTTAGGCTGTGCTACAGTGCCAGTGGTGGCAGCTCTCCTGCCACACCATGTTAAAATCTCCAAAGGTTTTAACGTGCCACGTGCTTGGCTGAACCCACGGCTCTTGCTGCATTATGGTCTGACACAGTGCTTTCATTCAGCAGGCGACCACCTACTGCAGCCCACTGGCAGCTCCCTGGCTGCTCACGAGGTCTGACAGTGTTTGTGGGTTATCATGACAGATCATGACAGCTTTTAAAAGAGAAAGGAGAAATCAATCCCTGTGCCTGCCTTCCCTAGCACTCAGTTCTCTCTTCATCCCCTATTGCAGACCAAACCCAACTGCAGTTCAGAGTTGCTGAGTGATCCTCATTAAAAGGATGAAGGTATTTTCAGTGACATGGATCTGCCTGGCTTAACCCACTCTGCAGGGCAGGACGTGGGTGACAGGCGACTGCAGCTGTTCAGGGACACACTGAGCTCAGTGATGCTGCTGGGAGTTGCCTCACCCCAAGCAGCTCCACTGCTGCAGACCTGGTCCCCCATGGAGTCTCCTGACATGTGGAGGGTGGTGTCACCTGCAGTGATGCTGTTGAAAGATGTTCACTTGTTGAAGGCACGGGGCACTTAAACTGCAGAAGAAACACACCAAAGATGATTTTGGAGCTCAAAGCACTCTTACAGATCAAACAATGTCTCCTGATACTCAAAAAGTAGCTATCACTGCTTGTAAGAGAACATGAGACCACTGTCCTGTAGGGGTGGCTTGTGAGGAGACCTCAGCTCCAGTGTCCTTGTGTCTGGATTTTAATTTTTGCATGCACTGGGGCTCACCACCGCTCTCAAGCACCTTCTGTCCCCAGAGGCTGCAAGAACCCTTCACATACAGCAGCTTTGAGCCTGTGGGTTTTCACTATCCCTGCCTCCTGCTGACCCTGTGTAACACCCACACAGGGGAGCCACGGCAGGAAATAGAGATGGGGTGGCCAGGGGCAGACCATACTCCTGATGTGGAGCTCCCACCATCAGCAGACACCGTCCCTGCAGCTCTCCTGCCTGCAGGGCTCCCACTCTGCCCCGGTGGTGCTGCACCTGCACGTGCAGCCTTTCCCGCACCTCCAGTGCTTGTTTTCATTGGTTTTTTTTGATTTTTTGAGAGTGAATCCATAGCACTGTCACTTGCGAGTGCCAGATGTTGCCGAATGCCCCGTGGCAGCGGCAGCACAGATAGGGAATGGCTGGCAGCATGGCCCGGATTAGCACAGCTTATCCCCCTGGCCCCGCAGCAGGGCCCTCGCCGTGTCTCTTCTCTGCAGCCCCCAGCCCCAAGCCCAGGCCAGGCAATGCCACTGGCTGCCTGTCCTGACAGCCACTCACCCCCTCCTGTGGGATTGGAGCTGCTCCCAGACACCCAGGGACACCCCACGCATGGTGTCCCCAAGTAATGTTGTCTTGGCAATAAGAAAATCTGTATATTGAGGTATGTACACCACAGCACAGGGCAAATATGTACTAATCCTAATACAAAACATCCTATATTTATGAAATGAGCTTATATTTATGAAATTAGCGCATTCCTGGCTGGGGTGTACCCCTTCAACCTGGGCTTGGATGCAAAAACCCTGTGTTTTTAATGTTCAATATGTAACAGTTTTACTAACAAGTGCCAGTGCATGCACTATGTTATACAACACACATATTTTCATATATAATACTGTCTAATATATATTTATATAGCTTTCAGTCATACATACTTATCTATACAATATGAAAATAAATAGAATTGAATATAAAACCATACATAAAGCATAGATACAAAAAATAATATACATAAAACATTACACCAGTAGAAAATGTACACATACAAAGCATACTCTTAAAAAAATTCTATTGGTAGTATTTTATATATGTATAGTGTTCTCCATATAGAACAACATGTAACATTATTTCATGTATTCTGTCTGTTTTCACAAGGTTCTAAATTGATGGCTTTTAGAAGAGACAGGAGAAATCAATCCCTGTGTCTGCCTTCCCTAGCACTCAGTTCTCTCTTCGTCTGGTCCTGCAGGCCAAACCCAACTGCGCTTCAGAGTTGCCAAGTGATCCTCTTTAAAAGGATGACGGTATTTTCAGTGACACGGATCTGCCTGGCTTAACCCACTCTGCAGGGCAGGATTCAATTCTGTGTTTCTATAATGGTAATTTTGCAATGCATATATTATTATTACCCTATTATATTATAATATTATAATATGTCCTATTGTATTATATAAAATTGCAGTACACAAATATCTAAAACATATTTACAAGCCCACACCACCATGCCTGTATAAATATTTCTATTGTTTGAGTCAATAAATCAAAGATGGGAGCTATATATGGCATCAAAACGCGCATAAAACATGATTTTTATGCATGTTGGTGTTCTACATTCAATGTTTTATGTACGCAAGGCAGACACACACGAGAGCTGTCACGCACAGCGCACAAATTTGGCACATACCCGTAATTGGGGGGGGGGGCGCTCGGCCGCCAGCCAGGCCACGCCCCCATATGACAAACCACGCCCCCTGTGGGCGGATCAATCCCGTTGTCCTTAGGCCCCGCCCCCTGCTGTCAGGCCCCGCCCCCTCAGTCCTCGCGCCCGCGGGCTGTGGGCGGGGCCAGCGCCGATAAACACGGCCACGTGCGGGGGGGCGGGGCCGGCCCGCGCTTCCGGCAACACGCGCCCGCCGCCGCCGCATAAATAGCGCGGAGCGGCGCCCGCAGCCCCGCCGGCCGCTCCCGCCTCGCCTCGTGCGGCACCGCTCCCGGCACCGCTCCCCTGCTGCTCCCGCTCCGCTGCTGCTCCAGCTCCGCGCCGCCGCCATGCCGTTCCTGGGGCAGGACTGGCGCTCCCCCGGGCAGAGCTGGGTGAAGACGGCCGACGGCTGGACGCGCTTCCTCGATGAGAAGAGCGGCGGCTTCGTGGGCGACCTCAGCAGGTACCGGTGGCTCGGCTCGGCCCGGCCCCGCTCCCCGGCGGTGCCGCCAGGGGACGCCGGCTGTGCCGGGGCGGCTGACGGCGGCGAGCGGGGCCCGGGCCGGGCGCGGGGTCGCCCCGGGGCGGTGTCGTCGGGGTGGGGGGCACTGTGTGGGCAGCCCCGGGCCTGAGGGGATCGACCACCCCCCTCAGGCCTGCAGTGAACCCCGAAGGGGTCTCCCGCGGTCGCGGAGAGCGGCTGCCCCTGCCCTGTGGTTGCGGGATGGGGCGGAGAAAGGAGGAGAAGGTGAAACGCTCGCTGCCCCGCGGCCTGGGCGCTGCGTGTCCGGGGAGCATCTCCTGGGGGCCACGGAGCTGTCTGCCCACCCCCCTCCCAAAGCAACCTTCCCCGCGCATCCCGACTCCCCGGCTGGGGAAGGAGGATTTATCTGAAGCCATAAATCTTCCCCAGGCCGTGAGTAATGTACCTTCCGTGCGGCTTGACTAATCCGGCTGCACAACATCAACACCCCCCCCAGATGGTGCGGGCAGGAAGCCTTTGCAGCGCGTGGGTGTCGTGGGCTCCGGCCAGATCGCTCCTGTCAAAACCCAAACTTTTCTCACAGAGCTGCATCTACTTCTCTGCTGTGTGTCAGAAATGCTCATGACAAAGGGACTTGGAGCAGGGATTTGCTGTGAACCGCTGCTGAGATGTTGTTGTGCAAAGAGGCTTATGTAGCAGGTATCTCCTGCTCTCTTTCGTGCAAACTGGAAGAAAAAATCAAGCATAAGCTTGTAGATAGGTAGAATAGGTTTGTAACTTGTAAATAGGTTGATTTGTAAATAGGTAGAAAAACGTCTGGCTGCTGGTAGTGTGATTGTATTGGGAATACTGAGTTTGGCATGTAATGTTTCCCCTTTAAAAGCGAGGAGGTGACATATTGGCCCTGGGCTGAGGTCTTTGCAGTGCCAGGTCCTGATGCCCAACTGTTCACCCTGTCAAGATGCCCTGGAGAAGTGTGTGGAAACCTGGAGGTACATAAACAGGGGAAAAATCTGCTTCCTATGCTGGAGTTCGTTTACTGCTGCTGTTGTGGTGGTTTCTTATTACAGAGTCATTCAGTAGGAAGTCAACAGGCAAGGGTGTGCTGTTGACATGTGAGATTTAAAGCAGATCCCCCTTGTACTCTTGGGCTCAGATTCTGCCACTGCATGGGGCATGTTAACCTGACCCCTGTTGATTTTGTGCAACCATAATAAAATATGAGCTTGAATATCTCAAAACAGCTTCTTCCTTACTACCATATTCTGTTCTCAGGTTTTGGTCTCCCCAGCAGAAGGCAGCACGGGTGGGGGACACGAGCAGATGAAATGTTCTGCTTTTAGGTTTAGGTGGTTCTGGGCTGGCTATATCTGGTAGAAGTGTCTGGTTCCCCAAACTGCTGTTTCTGTGAGTATTGTCCACCTGCAATGCTGCTGCTGTTCCCCTTCTGCAGTGTTGTGGTGGAGCCCACAGGAGTGGTGCCTTTTCCACAGCTGTGCTGCCCTGTGAGGGGGACGTGGAGGAGGAAGGGGGAACTAAGGCCTGTAGTTTTCTGAGCATGGGGGAGCTTTCCTCCACCTCTGGGGCCGTGTGCAGGTGCCAAACCAGAACACCCACCTGGAGCACACCAGAAGGGATCTGGGTCCCTCATGGGGCTGAAACTCTGACTTGGTCACTTGAGTTTTGAATATGCTTGTGGTGTGGCCAGCCAGTGAACAGAGGAAACAAGGAGGTCCCACAGGTTTCATTCCTTTGCAGGAGCCTGTGCTGAATAGCTGTGAGAGGTGTGTTTGGTATGGTGCTTGGGTTATTTTTTTTGGAGGCTAAACAGTGTAAACACTTGGTCTGTAGAGGAAGCCTGCTGGCTGTGTAATGGTCCTCATGGCTGTCACAGGGGAAGCTTGCCCAGCACAGCAAGCAACAGCGTGTTTTGGCACCTGTCAGAGCCCCAGGGATGCCTGAACCACAGCAGCTGAGAGGTGCAGTGGTGTGCCTGGAACCCTTCTGAGAGATTAGGCCTCCAAGACAGCCGTACTTTGTCCCTTGTGAGCGGTGCACAGTGTGGGCAGCTCTGTTTCATTCTCCTGGATGCATTGCTTGTCTTCTCCCTGGCACCTGTGAGGCATCCCTGCAGCTCTGGGAAGCAGGTTGCGTGCTGGGGCTGCTGCTGAGGGCCCCTGGTGGGTGCTGCCCTCCCCAGCCACCCCCAGGGATCTCTGCAGCAGCTCTGTGGCTGCCCAGGGGCTTCTCGGTTTCGCGTTGTGGCTTGGATCTGCTGATTTGCAGGTCTGCAGAATGTGGAGATGTTGATGCACAGCCTCTGTACAGATAGTCTGTCATTGCCCTTGAAGGAAATGAGGGGTTATAGTTCCCTTCACTAATAATATAGTTGCATCAGAGCTCCAGCAAAAGCAGATGATGGGCAGTCTTGGACAAGAGATCCTAGCTGTTAACTTGTATAGTCAGTGCTATGTGGGGTTTGCAAAACCATTAGCTAAGTCTGAACCTCAGCTGAGCTTTTCTTGTAAGCTTGAAATAATATTTTGTAGGGACTCTTTTGTTAATAAATATTTTGAGTGCCTGTATATGTCCTCAGGCATTTCTAAATATGTCCTTCTGTAGCAGTCTGACTGGCTCAGAGGAATCTGCTACCTACAGTAGGTGGACATGGTGTTACTTAAGGATAGAAACATGGTTAAGGGAGGAAAAGAATACTGCCCAACAGTGTCCCAGCACTAACTGTGCAATCTGTGTTGCCTGTTCCTGTGTGTTATGGGTATCTTGGCTAGCCCAGAAATGAGGCACCGGAGGTTCATTTAAAAATACCATTACTGGATGCAAAAAACTGTGTGCAGACTTCTTGGAGGCAGCTTTTGGAGCTCACAATGAAAATCTGTGTATTTTCTCTCCTTGCAGGAAACATAGTGTTCAGCAGACTGCAGAAATAAACAGAATCCTTGCTTTGTGTCATTCACAGCTTTTGTAAAAAGGATGATCACAACAAAGAGAATCTCTTCAACAGCCTGAACTATGATGTTGCTGCCAAGAAGAGAAAAAAAGACCTGCTAAATAACAAAGCCAAGACACAATGTAAGATGTATTTTTGGGCCTTTTTTCTTTAACCAAAAGTTGCTGCAGAAGAATGGAAAATGGTTCATATCTATGGCTTTTGCACAATGAAGAGTCTTCTAGAGTCTTGAAGGGCTTTGCGCCCATGTTTGACCTAAGCAGACAACTTGGATACAGTTTAATGTGAAGATTTATGCCCCTGTTAGTAATCCCTGTTCTGAGGAACTGTGCTTGTTGTGTTCAAATTTTTGTCATTTGTGTTTGTCAGAAGGAGGGTAATTTTTTCCTATGGTACATTCAAATGAACCAGTTCCAGGGTTTTTTTTCCCCCTGTAGACTTCCTTGTGCACAAGAGGCTAAATTTATTCTTCCTTCCATATGCATTTTGAGCACTAATCTACATTACTGGAGGCTACAGTCCTGAATGTAAGCTTTGATCCTATCTCTGTGTGCAGAGTGCATGAAAAATGAAATAAGATTTCAGCTCACTCGAAACAATAGAAGGCTTGAAATCTTTCTGTAGGCACAGCGAGCGGCCGGGGTCTCAGATGGTGCACTGTGGGAGGACCCAGGGGAGCCTGCAGGGACAGCAAGGTCTGCGTTGGGCTGATTTGCGAGATGGGTACTGGAGTTACATGTGAAGGCTACAAATGTAAACATACACAGAGGAAATGAGTTACAATTCCCACACTACTATTAGCTCATTGTGCATCCCCCAGGATTTTGGAAACTGATGCCAAAAGTTGGCCCCTCAGTGTATTCGGTTCTCTGAACAAACAAATGTTACCATGACAGTTTTTGGCTGGATTCTTCTGTGACTTGCCATTAAAAAGGGCTCAGTGCAGGGTCAGTGTGCCTGTAACTGAGACTAGGTCTGTCCTTGGGTTCACAGTACCAGGCAGTAACCTCAGTTCATCAGTTCACAGGTTGCTCCAGGAGCACAGTATTTTTTTATGGGAAGGAGTCTAGCAGGGTGGGGAGAACTTTTTTTTACACTAGCTCTTGAATTGCCAGTGTGTGGAGGAAGTAGGGTCAAAAGCCCGTGTGAGAATGGAGTGGGAGAACGACTGAGCAGTGTAACTGCTTAGAGTACAGGCTCTTCTGCAAACCGGGTTAGCAGCATGTGGCGGGTACAGGGAAGTTATTTTGGGGAGTGGATGGGACAACTCCCATTCTGAGGGAAGGGAGGGGCAATTAGAAATAGGAAAATTTTGGTCCCAAATAGTTTTTTGTTTTTTAGCAAGTTAGCTGCAAGCACAAGCATGCTCCTCTGAGCCTGACCTCACTGCTAAAAGCTCTCTCCTACATGCCTGGTGTCTCATGACATTTTTGCTCAACTTCAAATTTGACATACAATCCCAAGCCTGTAACCAAGGTAATGAATAGTTAATGAAATCAATAACAACAAAACCTGGCTGTCAGCCACACTTACTGTCTGGGACCAAAGAAGAGGAGGTGCTATGGTATATCTGTGGCTGGCAGATTAAACATTTACAGTCTTGAGCTGTGTCAGTGAAACAGAAGCCCTTTCCAAGGCTCAGGGCTGCAGTCTCAAATGAAGCTATATGGAAACAAAGCAGCCCGGCAAGTTGCTAGATTTGGTTTCAAGTGTAGTGGTGTAAACAAAATAACTTCATTTGTACTAAAAGATGGTGAATGTTATGAGCAGAACAGAGATGCAGCCCTCTGAGGTGCAAGATCAACTGAGCAAAATGTCTTTGTCCAAACAGATTTCCACCAGGAGAAGTGGATCTATGTTCACAAGGGAAGCACAAAAGAGGTGAGTACCTTCATAGGTTCTTTCTTCTCTTTTCTACTGGTTTTTACAAGCAGTGGAAGATCCTGTGCTGATATAAATCAGCAGAAGCTCTTAAGAGATAAGCGGAAGACCTGGCTTGTGGCTGGAATTTCAGTAATGATTTTTAAGCCCCTATCAGGGGATCCAGGGCTTGCTGTACAATGCTTTGTACATGTGTTTAAAATATGACTTGTTTGCTTCCCTCAGTTAAAAAAACCAACCATTTGCAGGCCAAGCCGTAATACTGTTCTTGGCTTTCACCCAGTACAGTCCTAACATGGAAAATCATTGGAATTCATCACAGTGGCTCGCTTGCACTCATGGAGAGAAGCGGCTGTAGGAGACTGCTCTGAACTCAGACTCTATCGAACCCCAGGAATGTGTGGCTCATACTCACCCACAAATTCATGGGTCATGAGCAGAGCTTGGGTCACTCTTGGGAAACTACCATAGTCTCCCTTGGGCCTTGCCCACTTTTGACGTCAGTAAGTGCGGCTCAGTGGGAGACAGGCCTGCCTCCTCTGGCTATGAGCTGCTCCCATGTTTGTGCAACTCAATTTGAGGTGCCCTGGGTTGTGTCTACCTGGTGCTGTCTGGACTCGGGCTACCAAAACATGACCCAGGCTGTTTTTCCTTTGCAGCGCCATGGTTATTGCACCTTGGGAGAAGCCTTCAACCGGCTTGACTTCTCCAGTGCTATTCTGGACTCCAGGAGATTCAACTATGTCGTGAGGGTGAGTGAAAGGCCAGTGTTTCTTTCACTGGAGGGTGGTGGAGGCTCTGAACTGAGCACCAGTTGGCTAATGGGAAGCACTGGCAAGGAAGAGATGCCTGAACGTGCAAATGCATGTGTTGGGCTTTGCTGCATGAAATAATTCATGGAAGTTGAGTGGATAGGTGCCTAAAACCTTGTCTTTGATCTGTTAAAATGAAGGGGAGGGGAGTGGTGATAACATAGATGAACTGTCTAGCATTCCCACTACTTTTCAGTTGTATAACTCATTTCTAAAACCCAGAAAGCTTGGCTTTCTAATTCCTGTTTTTTTTCAGTTCAGCTTCTAAATATGATTCTGTAGCCCCAAAAGGGCATGGGCTGTCTGCAGAGGCCATAGAGCAGTGGAGGCGTCTTTGCACAGGAAGCTCCAGTGTGAGGGCTGTGGGGTTTTGTTGCTGTTATGGTGACACAGGAGAGACTCGAGCTGAGCATTTTGGGAATGGGCTGAACCTCTTGGAGGCACTGATCTTAACTTCTCTGCAAAGGATCATGGTTGCTCTTAATCCTGTGTGACTGTCAGTGGTTTCAGTGGGTGAAGCATTCAGTTAGTCCTGACACCATTAGTTGGTAAGAAGGAGTCATCAGCCTCAGATTCCCCATGCTCTGGCTTTGCATAACAGGTCAGGGCTTCTGTTTTGGCCTGGGGTGGCCAAGGAGGAGGTTGTGGTTGGGGGAGCTACTGTCCCGAGGGCTGTGGGTGCTTGTATGTTTATCTGCATGTGATCTGCAAATTGATCTTGAGTTTCAGAACGCTTAGCAAGATTTGGAATTCAATAAGCTTTAAAAAAATCTGTTATTAACTTGAGGCTGTTTATAAACAGCTCCTTTTCACATCTCATGAGCAGCTGATCACTGGTGAGGCAACAGCTGTTCAGGTTTTAGGTTCTGGAGCAGGCAGCGTTGGTATTGCTTTCCCTTTGAGTCAAATGTCATGAAAAGTGTGTAAGGAAGAAGTGATCCGAGCAAGTTCACCTTGGTTTGTTCACCTGTTGTCAAGGTGACAAGTCGCCTGTGGAAACTTCAGTCACCCTGGGAAGGGTACAGGCATCGAGGGTGATGACCCACCTGCTGTGCAGGAAGAACAATCATTAGATGTTCCAGTGCAGGGGTGTTGGGAGGGAGTGGGGATGCTGGGGGAGGGAAAACATGGTCCAAGTCCATGTGAACTCAGTCCATGTGATCAGCTCTGCTGATCTTGGGACAGCTTGTTCTCCTGCACCTTGTGCAGGGGTGATCAACAGTGCTGAGGTACTCGGTGTTTCCTCATACTGGATATACACATATACACACACAGTTGTGCCATCTTCAGGGGGATTAGTGTGGAAGAAACAATCATGCCAAGGCCACAACCATTTAGTCAAATATGAAGAAGGAACATAAAATAAAACTTGGTTTTGGTGCTGCAGGTATCTCTTTGGCAGACTTTGTCTTGTGGCAGTAAAGAACTCCAAAGACTCTGCTAAACCTGGCCTCAGGTCATGCTGTGCCACATGACTGGCTTCTGCTGCTCAGCCCAATGTGATGGGTATCTCATATGGGACTGCAGTGGTTGAGCAGAAGTCCCATTGTTTTTTGGAAGAAAAAAAATCAAATTTCAGTGAAGTCAGTGTGGTTTGGTGTGGGAGCTCAGGCTGACCTTCCCCCTTGACCTCATGAAGATTTCATACACAGCAGGTCTGGGATGCTTTTCTCCAAAATAAGTGTTCTGTTATGGAAATTGACACGTGTCCTTGTTTCTACAAATCACCTCTCTTCTGAGCTTTTAAGAGTAACTTCCCTCTGCCTCCTGCCTCTCCCCACCAGCCCCCGCCCCTGTAGTTTTACAGATACAGCACTACTGAGAAGTATGAAGCTTTCTAATTGAGGCTGACTTGTGGTTTGGCAATTTAAAGAAACCTGGTACCATGGATATATAAATATAAAACTGACTTCTTAAAATGAAAGGCTTGTATCAGCCAAGTCTCTGGTGGATAGTAGCTCATAAAACACCTTATATGCCGGATTTACTCATGAAAAGCTCTGCCTAGATGTGGATCATGTTTATGGTCCTCTGCAAGTCATAGGCCTCCTAGATATCACAGACGACCAATCTGTCACATGGAAAATGCCTTGAACATTGGCAGGCAAAATATTTTTCCCTTCCCTCCCTCTCCTTGTTCTCTCTAGTTCCACCCGTTGCTCGGGTATCTGATTAATGTCACACTACTTAATTCATCAAGCAAATGCTTTTCAAGGAGGGAAGTTTAGAGTTGGAGGCTTGGAAAGAATATTAGGATGTCTGTAGGGGAAGAAAGGAGAGAAACAGCTGCAGGCTTCAGGTTCTGCTGGCTATACCCAAGCTTGCCCTGTAGAGAAATAAGCTGCATCACTTGCTGAGAGCAAAATGGGCTTTCAGGCTTAACATCAACTTACCTTTCTCAAAGCTTTCCTTTCTGAATTTCTCTGAACTTAAGTGCCACTGTGTCTTCAGTGCTGACTTCCTTGTCACAGAAGTGTCTTCTTCAGATACAATCAAACTAAATGCTTGGAGTTTCTGATAGTGCACTGATAAAAGGGGCACCTCCTTGGAGTGAGTGGAGGTGTGAGCTGCAAGCTTAGCAGGTATTTTTCATGGGCAGATATTATCAGCTGGAGGCAGTGGCAGTGAGTTCACGTAACTGAAGCGAAAGAAACTTTCCTCCACCATTAATCTTGTCTTAATTGTCTGCTGATACAGTGCTGGAAGTGCCACGTATTGGTACCATAACTTGGTTCTTGATCTTTCAAAACTACTGCATCTGTCTACGTGTTACAGGATAATCAGTGGTCCCTTTTCAGGGCTAGACAGGAAGTGTGTGGTTGACCCAGAGGACCCAAACTGTTGTTGGTCTTTGAAGCAGCCCTGGTTTCTCTGGTCTTACAGATTAATGAAAAGACTGGAAGCATTCTGTAAGCATAATTAATGGGAGCAGAGACAAATTGCCTGTAGCCCAGAAGTTGTTGGTTCTCCTTCAGGAACACTTTGTTCAGATGGCAGGTTTTGCAGGCTGTTTCCTTCAGAAAGATTTATCATGTGGTGGTTGTGTAATCTCAAGGGAAGGTGCTGTTTCTGATCATAAAAGCTTAGGTCAGGTTAGGCTGCATGGGCACAGCTCTTCTGGAATAACATGATCTAGGTTGTGTGCAGCCTTCTAAAGTAGTCTCTTAAATTTGTTTCTTAAGTTTTAATAGCAGTTAGCTCCAGGAGTCCTGGATTTATGCTGTCCTGAAAGAATATCAGCTGGATGGTAGCTCATGGAGATCTGTCAGCACCTGCACTGTACATCGTTATAACTCGCCTTGCTCTTGCTCTACCTCTCAGCTGACGGTCAATGTGACATTTCAGCCACAGAAAGTGAAAGGCTGGGAGAGTAAGGTGGGGCTGGAGGAGGAATTTTTTCACTGTGATACTTTTCTCTAAGCAGTCCAGATGTGAGGAGCCACATCCCCAATGACTGGGACCTTATGGATCCCCACAGGGTGCAGTCCAGCTTCCCTATAGCTGGTTTGGGGTATTCAGAGGGGGATTTACACTTCAGTAGTTTGAGACTCATGATTTTAATCACTACAGAGCATTTCCCTTTTTGAGTCGAGGTTACACCCTGCTCAGTGCAGCAGGACTGCTGAGAATTTTTTGGCTCTGTGCTATAAACCTCTAGCAGTGGTTATTTGGGGTGTGGATTGCCTGCACACCCCTGTGTTGAACCCAGACAGTGGCCGAAGTGCCATCTGGCTGTAGCAGATCTAAGCAATGCTGCACACACTAGTCGTGGGTGCACAGCAGTGTGTTTTCATGGCCCTGAAATGGGGGCCCTTGTTCCCTGCCACATGGCACTGTTCTGTTTGCTGTTTTCTTCCTCTGCTTATGGGAGGAGGACAACCTGCTCTGTTCCTGAAGCTGAAAGGCTGGTTGCACAGACTGCTCCAGACCAACTGCTGGTGGGGTTAGAGCAGGAGCTTCATCACACTCATAGGGAAGTGAGCAGGTTATTGCCCTGCTGTGGAGGATGCTGCCTCCTGCTCACTCTTCAGGGGCTCTGTGATAACCCACTGCATCTCTTGCCTTTTCTCTGTAGTTCTGGCACACCTCTGATAGCAAACAAAATAGGGGCAAGGGTGTAGGAACATTTTTTTTATTATTCTTTTAAAGAAAACTACCAAGTTACCTTTTCTCAACTTCGGAGTAGTTAAAAGAATGAATTGGAATTTAATACCCTCTTTTCCAGAGGTGTTGCAGACTTCCCAGCTCCAGTTAAAATCAGTTGGAATGCAATTACTTGGTGTTTTTGAAAAGCAGACCTTTTAAAATTGCTCTTAACCTTTCCCTGTGCACTCTCTCCTACCATCTGTCCCTCTCAGTTGAGCGTGGGCTGGACTTAATGCAACTGCATCATAACACATGCTTGCAGTTTTCCAGCCTTTTTACCCTACTCAGCATTAATCTGAATTCATCAGTCTGCTTTTAGTCTGTATTATGCATGTGGCAACACTGATTTACTTTTTTTAAAATGCCGTAGACCCCAATTTGGCAGTCCATTAACTGAGACCGTACTCCAGGCCTGTGCCGATGCTAACAGACCCTCAATGCACAGATGGACTGTATTGCTTACCTGTTTTTTGTATATGAGTACAGAAGAATAAAGAATGTCTTTTGCTTTGGAGGGCTAGCTAGTCGCTTCAGCCACCACCCCAGGGGAGTGGAGTAGTCCTGGAAGTATTCACAACATAGTTTTCATATGGAATTTCATCCTGTGTTTATTGCTGCAGGAGAAGGGAGGTGACACATGATATCTGAGCTGGTTCACTGAACATAAATTGAACCTTGATAAACACAGACAAGGCAAATTTGAATCTGTTCCTTTGGCTAAATTAATTTTTTACCAATTTAACTCTCTTCAAGGAACTGAGATTTTTATCCTCATTCTTCTAGAGGAATGGCCCTGGCGTCTAACCCTTATGGTGTTACATTACATGCTGTTTATCATTGCATGCATTTTGGTGTTTTTAGTAATGGGCACAATATTGCTAACACCCAGCCTGGAGGAAGCTGTCTCCGTGCCAGTTCCAGAACAGTGCAATCTGGAGACAGCAGTTGTTTGTGCACAGAGGAGCTGATCTGGGTGCATGTGTGGCTAATGTACAGATGGAGTCTGGCAAATTGATCACTATAATCAAAGGTCTGAAGGCTAAACAGTTTAGTGTAAGCAGAGTATTACAGACTATTATGGGACACTGGTTGTTTTTTTTCCACTTATTCATCCAGTATTTCAAAGAATGAAGAAAAGACTTTTTATAAACTTTTCAAACATCTTGGAAGCTGCCTTGTTTTTAAGAGTATTTAGTTATTATGGTGTCATTTAGCTGATATAGCAAGAAGATCCACTGATGCCTGTGCACCAGATATTACCCAATTCTCCTCCATCTCTTGTTTCCTCCAAACAAGCCAAGAAAACAAGCAGCCTGCCCTTCACAGGAGTTAGCACAGGTCTTTTTTCATCTTGGGATTTTTTTTCTGGTCATGTGAGGGGCAAGATATTAATAGAATGTAAACTCAAAGCCATCTGATGATGGTGTTGGCCTGGATATTAAACAGAAGAAGAGATCGGTCACTCTAGGCGACTGCACTGCTCCTAAGTGGCAGTCACATGCCAGTGCCCCAGATGAGCAGAGCAGGCGAGTGGCTGCAGTGATAGCTCTCCCTGAGCTCTCCCCGAGCTCTCCCCGCTTCATGGCAAGCTGCCGGTGACTTTTTGGATACGTTCCTGTCATTCTTACAGCAGGGCAAACAGTTCAGCTCATGACTTATCAAGTCTTGTCAAAAGCCATCTTAGTTACTTGACACAAGTAGTTGTGCCTTCTCTGGACTCTCTGTGGTGCCAGCAATGGGACACTGGAGCTGTGGATGATAAAGGATTAATAAGCCGGTCATGCGGTAATGTGTTGATTGATTTGTAGCATAAAAGGTTTTTCCTTTCCTTTCTAAATTAAAACAGAAGGCTGTGTACATCCAAAACAAATGGACTGACACGTGGACAGTCTGTGCATTTATATAATGCTGGGGGAAGGGAGGAGGGCTTGCAAGATCACAGGCCACATGTTCTGCAGGGCATGATCCATAGGAAACTTCCACAGCTGTTCTTGAGAGGGCATCCTTTCCCATGGGAATGCTTCCTTTAGCAACTGCAGCCCAAATTCAATGTTCAGCTTGTACAGGAGTCAGGAGGTTAGTGATGGGAAGCAAATCCTAATCGAAAGTAAAAGTGAGATTTCCATTAGGGGGAAGGTTAACAAGTAAACAGGACAGACAGGGAAAGGTGGTTGGGTATTGTAGCTGTAATAGCTGAACAGGGGAGGAAATGCTGGGAGAATAGGGGCTTGTTGCAGGGAAAGCTTGTTTTTCCTACAGTACTTAACCTTTCTGTCGTGGCGACAGCATTCTGACAAAACCCATGCAACCCTGGAGTTGACGTAAATTGTGGAGTCTGATTCTCATTAATGCTCCATCAATAATATCCCCATCCAAATAGGCATTTGCTCGTGTTCCTTATGACACTGCTTGTTTGTGCCCCAGTGAGGGATGGTGACGTTAGCTGTTCGTTGTTCCCTTGGTGTGAGTAGCAGCTGTCAGTCTGACCACTGCTCTGTGGTTTCTCTGCATCTCTGAACCAAGAAATCAAGTCATCTCCCCCCGCAAAGATAATTAAAATACCTTTTCTTTTCCCCCACCTCTTTTGATGTGAGTTTAAGTATTTGACCCCTGCTCTCCTCATGCTTTGTGTTACTTTGCTCTGTTGTTCTGTATTTATATTCAAGCAGCAAACAAGTCTCTGGACTGTTTTGCTGTGTCATGTGACCAGGAGTTAAGATTAGAAAGGTATCTCTGTGCTCTAAGGCTTGCAACTTCTATTTTTATCCACAGCTGTTGGAGCTGATAGCAAAGTCTCAGCTGACGTCACTGAGTGGCATTGCCCAGAAAAACTACATGAACATTTTGGAAAAAGTGGTGCAGAAAGGTAAGAAACGGAAACAGTGAGGGGGAGTCTGATTTAATCTGATGTACTTTGTGTGAAACCACATCCTTGAGAACAGTCAGGCAGTGCAAGATGGGTGAAGAGGGGCACCACTGCTTATTTCTGTGGTGCAGTTCTGCTTTCTTTTCCCTCAATGAAGGACTTGAGGGGAGTGGAAAGAAATGTCTGTAGGTATCTGAGAGGCAATTCCTCCTTCTCCAGCTTCCCTCGCTGTCACCCCCTTCTGCATCCTACTGAGTCCTGTTTCTGACTGCAGAAGAGCTGGCTGCTCCTGCCCCAGGCTGGGCATATCTGCAGTCTCTGCTGCCGCCTTGTTGCCAGTTTGCTGTCTCTGGTGTTCCCACTGCTCTGGAGGAAAGGACAGCTTGAGGTGTATCCTCACCTGTTTGGGGGAATGGATTGTGGCTGAGATGTGGCACTTCCCTCATGGAATTTTAGCTCTGTCTGAGGTCTGGGAGTTGAGCACACCCTGTTAGTACAAGTAATGAGAAAGGAGGTCCTGAGCTGTCTCCCTGCACATCAGCTGGGGTAGACAGCGAAGAGCACATGGATAACCTTTAGCACAATATTGGAGGGGAAAACTGGTTGGTTGCCAGTGGCTGGAAATGGGAAGTGCTGCAGAAATGGCAGATCTCATCTGCTTATCCTGGGAGGATCTCTTTCCATCTGCTGTCTAACCTGCTATGCCTGGCTAATGTTTAAGTGCTTTCCTCTGAAAAGAAAAGCACAGGCTGGCTCTCTTGTCCTGTGAGGTTAAAGCAAATAACTTGACTTGCCTGAGAAACGTGGATTCAGGGAAGGATTTTGACAGTTCCCATTTTTAACCTTTCCTGTTCTTCCAAAGTCCTTGAAGATCAGCAGAACATCAGGCTAATACGGGAATTGCTGCAGACCCTCTACACATCCCTCTGCACGTTAGTTCAACGAGTTGGCAAGTCTGTCCTGGTTGGAAACATCAACATGTGGGTACACAGGATGGAGAGCATTCTCCACTGGCAGCAGCAACTGAACAACATTCAGATCACCAGGGTAAGCACAAACCCTGAAAGCTAAAAATATTGTGGCTTCTTCATGAAACCTTCTCATGTAGCAACTCTCGTTTGGGTGACTGCTTCCCACTGTACTCCCAGTGCAAGCACAGAGTGGAAGGACTTCAAGTTGCCAAAATAACTGAATGCATTCCTAGCATTACTTGAGTCCCTTAATTCAAACTCAATGTACATAACCCAGGATCATGCTCGAGGTTACTGGTCACAGACTGTGGCTTGACTCTGTACTGGCCGTGAAGTGCTCTGTGAACAGAGCTGGGCAGGAAACCATCTCCCCCTTTTCAGTCTTCAGAGACAGGGCCTCAGTATGAAGAGTCAACTCAGTCTTTTTCAAATTGAGAAATTGACTTCAAAACTTGTTTATCAGATGGTTGAGGTTTTTAGATTTGTTTAATCTGTAAATTAAATGCAGATTTCTGAATAGGTGCATAATTTCATGCTTCCTGGCTGAAAATATCAATTATTCTTCCAGTAGTCTGGAGCTACCTGTTCCAACTGGACGAGTCCTGCTTTCACAACACGTGTTTTTTTCAACAGCATCTCTGGGGATGGGAAGGATGTGTTAGATAAATTCCTAACGTGGCTTTGCATGGGAATCAAATTTGAACTTGCTCCATTTCACAGAAGGTTTGATCTTGGAATAGACCATCTGCTCCAACCCCCTAGCTCAAGCAGGGACACCGACAACATGTTACCCAGGACTGCTTCTAGACTTTTTTTTTCCACCTCAGATGGATACTTGATGAGCATTGAAATGCTGAAGCTTTCCCTCAGTGCTGATACCTGTGTTGGTGTGCCCTTTTGTAGGTCTCTTCTGCAGTGAACTGGCGTTCCCGTTTAGGCAGATCAAGGCATAGCCCAAGGGAATATAAAAATTACTTCTTTCTCTAGTGGCTCAATCAGAAAGGCATTCACAAAGGATTAAACAAAGGACCTGCTTTCATAATTTTACATGATTGTGTTCTCTGGGAACACCAGGGAACAATCTTCAGTCCTTCAGTTAGAGTAATACAGGGAACAGGGTGTAGAAAGTGAGCTCTGGGAGGTCCCAGGCAGTTTGAGGAGCTGCAAAAGCAGCAGTGCGTTATCTGATGGTGATTTCTGCCCCACCTCTGCTGTCTTTCCTGGTGTCCCTCTCTTGAGAAGGGCTGCAGCTCCCTTTGCCTTGCAGGGGAACCGCTGGCCCAGTGGTGGGGTGGCTCCTGGGGCTGTGAGCTGGGGAGCCATGCAGTGCCGGGGCAATTCCACTCAGGTAGCTGCTGCCCTGAGGGCACCAGAGGTCAGAATCTACCTCCTGCTGCTCAGCTCAGTAGTACAACGTGGGGTTTTCCCTCCTGGGATTCAAAACACAGACAAGCACCTAAAAGAACTCTACCTATTCAGACCAAAGTCAAAATATTGCTTGTGAATGAAACAGCCTTTTATACATGCTTACTTATATATAGATTTAAATACACTGTTCAAAAATAAAATGGATGTAGAGCTTGCAAAAAAGGAATTCACACCTCTGAAGATAACTTCAGGTCAAGCTAGAACAAAACCAGCTGAGTTCAGAGAAAGGAAGAACAAGCTCAGCTCTGTGCAGCCAGTTACTTAGAGTGCACTGAGTGCTTGTGGTGTTTATGGATAGGGGAAATGTCTTGCAACACCCAAGACCTAAACAATTTTTAAAAAGAAAAACTTGCAAAATATTGTGTGTGCTAGAGCTGCTTAAAAAAAAAAAAAAAAAAAAAAAGGACAAACCTTTGTCCAGAAAGTGACAGCATACTACTGATCTGCTCTGATCTAATCTGTGTTCTTTCTCCAAAAAAAGTAATGTTTGAAAAGTTCTGGAAAGGACTAAGGAGAGAAATGAAGTAGCAGATAAGTTTTTGGCCCTGACTCAGAAAACCTGTAAGGATTTGTTTGAGTCACACAGGTTTCTCCAGAATAAAGGCAGAAGCATGAGCTTTGGGGTTCTTCTGACCCAAGAGTTTCTGAGATTATTCTTGCCTGTTGTGCCCTAGCAAAGCTTATATGCAGAGAGAGTGCAGGAGAATGCAAAATACAGGCTGGCAAGGGAGATTAATGGGAGGTGGACATCCAAGGATCCAGCGTATTCTTCCCACCCCAAAAAAGACCCAGGCAGTTATGGGAGGAAGTGTCCTCTGGAGATATTGAAGACAGGTCACTCCTTCTGGAAGGGTTGTCTCAGGTCTGCCTTGCTGGTGGAGATGGCCAGAACTGATATCTTGGTTGAAAAGCTGTGGTCAGTGCTGCGTGGTCCAGGCAGGAGGGAGCTGCTGGTGCACTGACATACTCGTTCTGTGGAGTCCCACATGCGGTAGGATGGCTGGAGATGGGACTGTGTGATCAAAAGCAGCCTCACTGAGTGTTCCCCTGATGATGGCAGTCTGTGTGCTGCTTGTTTGAAACAGTTAATAGCTCTGCCAAAGGCGAGGTGGGAGCTGTGACTCTGCAACTTAAAATAGCAGCATTTCTGTGCAGGGTAGATGATGATGAACTTGGCACATCTATTTAACATTGTTTCTTTGTTGGGGCCCAATCCTAGAAGCTGCTGTTTGCCTTAATAAGGCTGGAGCTGATTTTGAAGCAGCTGGAGCCTGTGTTGTGGTCCTTGCTGATGCTTTGCTCCTCTGTATGCCTTGGATTTCCCCCGAGTGCAGGACCTGCAGATTCATTGTGGTCAATTTTTCCTGGAGCTGTTCCCCATGTGGGGTTTGTAAAACAATCCTGGATCCTGTGTAGACCAAGCAAAGGTGGATGGGAGTGGCTTTTGTCTCTTTAGGCTAGGGTGTGCTTTGGTGTGGCTGAACAGCGTGGATAAACAGGTCTGCAGCTGATGGGAAGGGGGCAGGTCCTTCAAGTGTTCCCAGAGGAATAGTTAGCCTTGACAGCAGTGACGTGGGAAGCCACACAGGAAAAATCCTGCTGTGGGTACTCATCGGCCACTGCTGTGGTTACAGCAGGATCCTGTGATGACACAAGCTAAAACATGTGTCAGAAAATCATGAGATTCCCAGCAATGTGTGTTAACTGGAGCTGGACTTGAGAAGTACGTCCCATCTCCCTCATGGTGGAGAGATCTGGATGATGCCATGATGTCCTGCTGTAGTGAAAGCTTATGGTGGTGCTTCTGGGAGTAGAACTTCACGAGTATGGAGGTGGGGTGGATAAAAAGGGGAGAAAGAGGCTTGGACTGCAGCTTTGCTTCTGACTACTGTAATACAGATATGTGTCCTGTTCCTTGAAGATCTCAAACTGTTCTGGGGCAGAAGGTCAAATGGTTTTGTATAAAATGTCTTCTTTATTCAGAAGAAGGAACTGCTGCTTTGTTCTTTGTGTGAGGAGTAATGCTTAAAAAGCAGTAACTCTACTGCAAGCTTGATTTCTTGGTTTTTCATCTTCTGGGAGTTCAATTTTTGTCTGTCTCTTCCAGCCTCCCTTTAAAGGAACCACTTTCACCGACCTGCCGTTGTGTTTACAATTGAACATCATGCAGCGACTGAGTGATGGCAGGGACCTGGTTAGCCTTGGTCAGGTGGCTCCTGACCTGCAAGTCCTCAGTGAAGACCGGCTGCTATGGAAGAAACTCTGCCAGTACCACTTCACAGACAGACAGGTACAAGGAGGGATGCATCAGGCCCTTGTTGTACCCCACTAGCAACCAAACACACAGGGGTAGGACACTCTTGCTTGACCAAGGATCTGAGGACTGTGCTGATAATACAAGCTGGCATGAGAATGGCTGTGAAGATGATTTATGTAGAGGATTTTACATGCCACAGCAATGATTCCTGAAATAGGAGCTTGAGGAATTAATCATACATGAACTTCAACCCTAATCCAGGTGGGAACAACTGCAAGTCATGCAGTGGCTCCTTGCTCCACGTGTGCAGGGAAAACGTGCAGGCAAGCTCCAGCAATCACCCTCATGTCCCAGGCACCTCACAGAGGGTGGGTGAGGTCCATGAGCTCTCTTGCCCTTTAGAGCAAGAAATCCCTTCTGAGCTGTTTTGTGAGTGACAGAATGGTGTGTGGAAAACAGTCCTACTGCTACCCACGTTGTACCTGTATAAACATCTCTGGCCCTTTGCAGGCTGGTAATCATGTGGGTTTGTCTAAACTTAAAACCAAACAAAAATCCCTCTCTGTTTATGGGTGAATGTCTGGGGTGGTTATAGGAGACCTCTGCACTTGAGGGGACATGTGCCAGATTTCTTTATTGGCTTGGTTTTATTTACTCACTCTGGATCTGACTTTGACTCTGGGGAAGTTATTCCTATTAACAAGCAAATTCAAATCCAGCCTCTGCAACTAATGAACCCTAAAAGAAAGGTAGGTGTCTCCCAAGCTAATGTAATACATCACTGACTCATAGAGTCAATGAAAAAGCAAAATACTTCAACTTCTAAAACTGTTAAATACAACTGTACTTGCTGTCCTGCCAGCCAGAAAGAGTGGCCAGAGTAGTATGAAATAGCTCCCAGGGTTTCAGGCTTCCTACAGTAGAGTTCACGAAATGGGAACAGACCCTCATAATGGTATTGGGTGAGGCTGTTCCCATCAGGAAGGTACTTAGAGCTGGATATTCAAAGTAAGAGCTTTTCTTGGCGTTGCCAACAGTTCAGGGAACTGTTATGGGACTGGCAAGGATGACATGTGAGGGAAGGGGGAAATGCCTTGGAAAGAACAAATTATTATTTTTTTTGACCTGCTACAATTATGATTATCTTTTAAGATTCGCAAACGGCTGATCTTGTCTGACAAAGGACAGCTGGATTGGAAAAAGATGTACTTCAAGCTTATAAGGTGCTACCCACGGAAGGAGCAGTATGGTGACACACTACAGCTGTGCAGGCACTGCCACATCCTCTCCTGGAAGGTACGAGGTGCTGGTGGGACAGACTCAACTGGGACAGGAGCCATGAGGCACCCAGTGCTTCCTCTGATTGCAGCTGGTTTAGGGTCCTGCAGTTCCTTTGCCTGCATAGCCTAGTGAATTCTTACATCTTAGTCCTCCCTCAGCTATTCAGACAATTTCTCCTTTGTGCTTCACAGGGATCCCATCTCTGTCTCCAACAAAAGTAGTGCCCATTGGGTCTGGAGGGGAGGGAGATGGGTGTGCTGTGGGGCTGCCTGCAAAAAGTCATTTTGGCACTGCCAGCAGCTTTCTCCACCCATTACATGGAGGTGGAAGTCTTGGCAACAGGATCAGCTGGAGTGAAAGCTGATGGGCTACAAAATGGCCCAGGACAAAACTCTGCTGGCCACTGTGGCCACATCCAAGGCATGTCTCTGGAGCTAAACTCCTGTAGCTGATGGCAGGCTCTAGCCTCTCTTCCCTTTAGAAGAGAGGAAAAGAATGAATTGGATCTTTGCTCATTTTTTTTTTTTCCCCATGACTTGCCAGTAGCCCCTAAAATATGAAGCCCAGTTCTGAGCTGTTATTCTGGGCTCTGCTCTGTTTGCACATGGGATGTCTGGCAGAGGGGCAGTGCTAAGCTGGCTGATCCTTTGGCACCCTTTCTGCAGTCTCTCTAAATGGAATTGTTTTCTCCTTTCCCAGGGTACTGATCACCCCTGCACAGCCAACAACCCAGAGACTTGCTCCACCTCTCTTTCACCACAGGAGTTTATCAACTTGTTCAGGTTCTGAACTTGGGTCACCGCAGCTTATGTGATTCTTACAGGACACTTTATGCCACTGAGCTTGGACACTCCATTTGTAAATAGTGTAAATATTCGTGTTTGTTGGAAGCTCCTGAGTCAAGGAACAAGAAGATCTTGGAGGTGAAAGGTGAAATTGCTCACTGACATGCAGCACTTAAGGAATACAGACTTCTACAGGACTGGTGTATAAATACAGCGTGTTGTACAGAGTCCCTTTTTTATCATCAGAGTACAATATACAGGGCAAAAAAGCTTCTTTTTTTGTTTTTTTAGAAGTTAAAAATGAATTTGCCCCATAACCATTTGAGAACTCTTTTGTTTTGTTTCTAATAGAAAGAAAGCAATACGAGGCTAGGACTGTTGAACTGTTCCTCCATCTGGTTTTATTTAGCATACATATTTATAAATATGACGTTTTAAAAATATTTATGAAAATATCCCTGTGACAAGTTTAATAATACTTTTATGCTTTTAAAAGGACACATTCTGAAATACTTAGGATAGAACTCTAGCCTACTTGCAAGACAGAATCGCAACATACCACTTTCTACCTCTAACAGATTGAGTACTTTTCAAACAAAAATCCAGTGTACAATGTGAACTTTTGTATTTTGTACAATGATTTAAAGGGAAATGCTTGTGATAGTAAGCATCTTTTCTTGTATTAGTGCTTACCTCTTTACATTAGTTTTCTCGCTCTACTCAGTGCTTGAATGCCTAGATGATAGGCACCTTATAAATACCTAAGACTTTACTCCATCCTCTTTTAATTTGTTGGCTTTATGAAAGACTAAGCAAAAGGGAAAGGAGAAGCCACAAGGATGACTATAATCTATAAGGGAGGAAGTTCTGTTATAGGGGAAACAAAGGACTGGATTTAATCTCACAAGGTAAATTTGTATCAGCTCCACTGGGTTAATTGCACTGGTTGAAATCCCAAGTAAGGTTAGAAGCTGTTTTTTCAAGCCCATGTTTTCCAACATAAATGCTGCTCTGTATTCCCACTGCTGTCAAGTGAATTCAGTCATCTTGGAGCTGGTAAACTATAGGGAGAACTGGGCCATTTATCTTGTGAAATGATGCGGTTTTTAGTCACTGGAAGACTGGCAACAAAATCTTTAGTTTCAGACTATTGGAGTTTCTGGAGGGATTATTTAGTAGTCAGGACTGGGAGTAGCAAGGGATTTCCAACATGGCACTTGATACATCTTTGGTTACTTCTCCACGCCGGTGGCAAAGACCCAAAGACCCTAATCCCTTCTGCTTCCAGCGCTGAGCTGCTTTATGGGATCTTCTAACCCTAAACTAGAGCTAAATTTTCAGTCCTGCGGAGTAAGTGGCCACTTGGCTGTGATCTGGCTCACTGTCTCCTGTGTACAATGCTTCACTTTTCCCCACAGTGGAGCTTGAAGAATCCAGCTCATACAGAGCCATTTGAAAACCTGCAGTGGAAAGTTTTTGCTGTTTGCCAGTAGATTTCCTGTATAGCACTTTCTCTGTGCATGATGTAAGCAGGATACCTCGGAAGGGTAAATATTTAGTGGGTTATCTGTGACTATGTACAAAGAATTGTGAGGAAGAGGAGTACTCAGGACAATTCAGGAAGAACTACTTGACTTAATTATTGTTAAATATTCTGATCCTTTTTTTACATTTTTATAACTGACTTTCAACACTTTTCTGCAGCTGTTTGTACTTAAAAATAATAGTATTTGCATTTTTGCAAACTAAATCACTTTGCATACTCTTGGAAGAGACAGGGAAAGGGAAAAAAGCTGCCTCTAGATGGAGCAGTGGGGAATAGGGGAGAAAAACAAGGAAAATGCTGACAAGAATTTCCCTTCTCCTACCACCTAACAGCAAATCCAAGTTTTTGCTCTTTCAGAGAGCTCTGTGAGCCTGTGCCACCCTTAGCCATGGCCCAGAGCTCATCAGTCTCCAAAGGTGAGGAGAAAACATGCAGGATAGGGAGCTTTATCTTGGTGTTGATGGCCCCTCCATCAGTTTGACTGCTGGTGGAAAGCATAAGCCTGCTGGATCATAATCATGTCAACTGAAAGTGATTTAAAAGCTGTTACCTTGGAAAAATAAACTTGTGCTTGTCTTGGGGGATGTTTGTGAGTGAGGGAGGCCAGTTTTTGTTTTCACTCCCGCATTGATGGCGGGTAGACAAGGCTGAAATCTGGCTTGCTGAGTGAGGACGCTAAGAACAGAAACTTGCAAGTGAAGTGAGTGAAGCATTGCCACTGAACTGAATCTGAAGGGTCCTGTAACTCCTTTTTCCAGCAGTGAGAGGACCTGTCCATCTTGGCATCTTCTGTTTCCAGTTCTGACTTGGGATTGGTTTGTTTCATAGTTTTGTCTCTGCCACCCATCGTGAGCCAACCTGTTGTGATGGGAAGCAAGAGCATTTTCGTATGAAATGCTGGGGGGTTAAGCCCAGTCTGCATCTGTGCTGAGCAGATGATACTCACTGTGAGATTGTGACACTGAGTGAATGTTAAGCTCAGGTTTGAATCTGGCCTGGTGCATTCCCTGTATTGCAAGACAGAAAATCCCAGCATTGAGCTGTGATTGGGGAATGTCTCAGTGTAGCCATGGCCTCTATCAACTCTTCACTTGCCTTGAGCAAAGAGTTTATTCTGTCTTCTGCCCAGAGAGCATGGATCATGCTGACAACAGATTTAATGTGCAACTGAGGCTCCTATTTATAAAACTTACTTCAATTAGTGTGGTTTTTACTTCTTAGCATTGGAAGGGTCAAAGTGTTGAAGCTGATTTGTTAATACATAGACACTGTGTGTTGCTTGTGTGAGGTCTTAAGATATTGCTGTCAGTGTCTAAACCAGCAGAACACCAAGCAACTACTGTACTGGAGAACAAAACAGACTAAGCAAAAAGAAACAGAATAAGCCTTATTCAGTTACTGCCTCAGTCATTACTGTCCTGCTGCAGCAACTGTCAAAGATGACCTTGGTCTCTTTGGAGGCTCATTGTTTCTCACGTGGCTGGTACAGGGAGATGTTGTGGTGAATTCAATCCTCTTGCTTTGTATTTAAAACAAAATGCTGTTGCATCCAAATACCTTACTCTAACCATTTATAAACAAAGCAATCAGTATTTTAGCAGTGCAAAGGCATCTGCTTGGCTGAGGATGGCAGAGTAACAAAACTGACAGTGATAACAGGGGCTTCCAGGCAGGATGGATTTAAGGCTGCTGTGATGCAAAAAGGACCTCTTTATTTGAAGACAATTGTGGCAAAGCTGTTGTTGAAGGGAAAACAGACTTTTGCTTGTATTTTGGAAATAATAGAATGTTCTTTTCAAATGACATTTCACCTTCCAGTCAGTTGATGCATTCCCATTAGACATGCATCGGTTCTTATACTAGGAGAGTTTTTCCTCTCTTTGGGGTTTTCTCTTGCCAGCATATCCAGAGAAATCTCACTGTCTTCAGAGGATGTATTAACTAGTACAGCAACATAGAACATGGTGCTGTGAAGAGAAAAAAAAAAATAGATCCATGCCAGGGAGGAGGCTTAGGAAGGGAGAGATCTCAGTGATCTGTTTCAGCTTTCTAGAGGAGGCAGTTGTTTGGAGTTTGTTTTGATGTGATGGCCATTTCAAGAGGCACAATTTCAGCTGTACATACCTTAAGCCATTTATCCTAACTACGGTATGCTAAAGTTTGATCATAAAGAGTGTGTACATCCTCTTACGTTTTTTGGGTTCTTTTTTTTTTTTTTTTTTTAACTGTGGGAGTTTCTAGATCCTTTTATTATGTAAAGTGATTAGGAAAATATGTATTGCTCTGAAGACATTGCTTTGTATGTAAACATTTAATTGCACCCTGCCACTTTGTGTATATGGGAATATATTTTTTATTATTTGCCCCTGGGTTTTGAACTGTTTGTATTCCCATTTCTGTTTGACTTCAGTTTTTCTCATGAATCTGTCACCTTCTAGAACATATGCAGGTACTAAACCAGCTTTTCCTGCCCAGAAAATTCCTTGGCCTTCAGTAGCTCAAATTTAATTTAGAGCAGGAACGTTTCCAATTCTGTTGTGTAGCAAACAAATCAGGTGTGCTGTTTCACACTGATCTCCTGGTCGGTACAGCAAACCAGCGTTGTCCTCCTTTTGTTTTTACAAACCTGTTGCACGGCTACCCCGTAGATCAGCACCTTGCCAAAATGACATAGCTTTGAATTAAAATGCCCCTCTTCCTAGCTGGCCTGTTTGCACAAGCATAGGCCCTGTGGAGCTGATGGCTGATCGGGTTGTTACAGACTCCCTCGTACAAGGTTTGGGACCCTGGTGTTCTGCTTGTACTGTGTGTCTCAGCCCACTGGTTATAGTGATGCTGGTTAAAGGCTCTGAAGCTGTGGTCAGCCATTCACACAGCTGTCAGCACGTGGCTGCTGGGCTCCCTGAGTGTCTTTACCAGCACCTAATTTCTATTCTGTATCTTCCTCCAGTGATTTCACCGGTGGCAAATCGGCTTTGCAGGATCTGGCCGTAGGGAGAACAAATCCATCTTGTCCTTGACACATGCAATCTCTCTTACGTAAATACCTGGAACACCAGAGAAATTCCCCCTTTATTGATCAAGTGTTGCTGCTTCTCCTCCTAGGAGGGCAGCTGAGGGTAGAACTTGCATTTGTTTAGCCATCATGTGCTGCACAGAATGCTAACAGGTCTGCTAGCAAGAGAGCATTTTAATTTGAAATAGCAAATACGCTCATCTTTAGGAACTAATCTACAGTAATTATAAATATGTACTTATATATGGAAGAGAGCGTGTGTTCTGTTTGTTTTTCCTTAAAGTTGTAACTAGAGATGATATGAAGTGAAAGGCATCCCTTATATAAGACTTCTGTTTAATATTATTGTGTGGTTAAAATCCTTCCATTATAAATTTGCACACTTCTTTCCTCTTCCCTTGCATGTTCAACGCTGATTTTTACAGCTGTTCTGTGCAGACAGTAATGTATTTTTGTAAAACATTTTTGACACTGAATTGCAATAAATGTTCAAACAATGTGAACCACAGAATTTGTTGTCTCATTGCTTCCAAGTTGGTGACCTTATCAGCCTTGAGCTTTTGGTGACTGTAAGCAAAGACTCTTCTGCAGGAACATCCAGAACTTGGCTTGTTGTCACAGTAGAACATCCCAGATAGAGCTGTTGCTTCATCGTGCCTCAAAGGGAAATGAGGCTTTGTGTCTAACAAAAACTGTGCTTGCATGGAGCTTGTCCTCGTGAATCTGTACTCACCCAAAGCACGGGAGTGATTGCTGCCCCAGAAGAGATTGCCAGTGCTCACAATGATCTGAGACCTTCAGCTCCAACTTCTTGGCTTACAAAATGTTTTTCTAGATGTGTTATCCAGTAACGTTGATTTTTATTACTTTAATATTTCTCTTTTTTTTTTTCAGGTACAATTGCTTCTCATTAGTGTCAGGACTGCAAACAGTCTGACCCAGACTCCTGCTCAGAAGGAGTGTGAGTAGGAGCCCACTGAAGCAACTCTCAGTAAATTGTGGAAAAGCAGTTGAAAAGGCAAATGACACGTCTCTATTTGAAACAGGAGAAGTTATGATGGTAAAACAGGATTACTTGCCTTGTGAAAGCTATGCCAGCTCTGAAAATAAGTATGAAACGCAGATGTTTTGTTTTCAATCTCATTTGCACTGTCAAGTAAGGTATGCGTGAGTGGTTCCCTAAGTCTTTCTATAGTTATGCCGTGACTCAGGTCTACAGTTAGAGGGTTGCACTCCCCAGACACAAGTCTCTGGAAACATGGGGTGGCACAGTTGACAAGATCACGAGTGCCTTTTAAACAAGGGGACAAGGAAGCTGTTGTTAAGACACACTTCTCACTCAAACTTTCTTGAAAATATTGAATTCTACTTATTTTAATAGACTAAATGTACAACAACTAAATCCTTTAAGGGGAATATGGGATCTTAGGAATATGTTGAGTTGCTGAGGTCTGGCTGTAATTTTTCCCATTTTCACGTTAGTGCTGCTAACACCTCCACCCTTTTAAGAGTACTCAGGGATAGATGGAGAGGCAGGCTGAAGCATGGGTTAGGTCATGCCCTGATCAGTGATAACAAGTCACCCGGTATAATTCCTTGGAGTGCGCTCACTTTCTGGCTTAGAGCCTAACAAAGCAGTACAGTTTGGGCAAAAAGCATTTTGAAAACTACACAATGAATATTAAAATTGTGACTTTGCTTTGCCTCACCTTCCCCTAATCCTCATTTCTGCTTCTCTGCTTTACAAGGTGGGTGGAGTGAACCCAGTGAACCACGTAGGGGGTTGATTTATTTTTGACAAAACCAGAGCTGCTTCTGTGATCCAAATTGCAGACATTGGAAAGAGCTGTTTTCTAAAAGGCTCTATAAATAACTCATGTGGGTTCAAAAGCCTTCCCTAAGCTGGAAGGACACCAGTTCACCCCTCACCGTTCTTGATGCATAGTATACTGCACTTTCTGGTTGAAAACAAATTAATGTCTTTTTTTAATATGTTTTCCTTGGATAGTTTCAGTCCTGGTCAGAACAGGCCTTAAATGCAGAAGGCAGCACCTCCAGGTTTGCGACCAAGGTGGCAGGTCCATCCCAGCCTCCCCCAGAGGTGCTGCTGCTTCCATGCGACAGCTGGAAGTGGGTGGCGGGACAGGAAAGACACCCACTCCCAGCTTCAGGGGATAAATAAACAAACCACCCCACAGGGTTCGCGGTCATAGACGGACAAACGCAGTCAGCACAGGAAATGTGAGTTCCTCCTCATCGCAGCACACCAGGAATTTCGACTTATTTTAACAGGGCTTTTGAGGATTGGGTTAAGCTAATTCTTACCAGCGTCAGAGGAGGATACACACCCACAGGGGGCAATTGCCTGGCTTAACCTGGGGCCAGCCTCCAGCCCAACCCTGACCCAACCTGAGCTGCTGGGAGCCTGTTTGGGTCTGGTTGTGACTGTACAAGCATTTAAACGCTGTGCTAGGCTGGGACACAACATGAGGTGCCTCTTGGTACCACAGCCATGGCTTTGGGGTTTGGGGCACGTTTTGTCCATGGGTCTCCCACCAGAATCTGACCACAGTTTTCAGCATGGGTTCTCTCTTAAATGACTTTCTCCTGATCTTTTTATAGCTCTCTCACTGAAGTGGAATTTATTCTTTCTTTTTTTAATATAGCGGGAGGTGTAAATCCAGATAAATATAACTCCTGAGGGGGGATCAACCTGTCCGTGCCATGGCTCAGCAGCGCCTGTGTTGCTGCTGGTGTATATAAAGCAACCAGGAGCCTTTTTAAACTTCTGAATTTGAAATAATTTTTATTTTCTTACTTATAGAGAATTAAATGGTTCTCATTTAAAAGAGCTGGCTCCTGGTGGTAGGTAAAAACCTACAATCTTACCACGCACTTTTATATTTAAAGCCTCTATTTTTAACCCAATGGTGGGATTCAGGGTTAATGCTCGTTAGATCTGTGTCTAGACAGTTGTGAAAAACAGGAAATGAATTACATTATAGTACGAAAGGAGAATTTAACCTTTTCTCTCCTCGCTAACACATGTGACTGAGGAAAATATGTTACAGCAGAGTATTTTGGAAAGTTTAAGGAAGTAGAAAAATGAGAAGGAAAAAAAAAAAAGCGCTGGGTTTCCACAAGGCCTCTTGGGAATTATTTCACAGAAAATAATGCGCCAGACTCTGCCCTCAGCTACACCCGGGCAGTAATTTGTTTCTTCTGGTCCCTGTGGAAAAATTGCATTTTATTATTCCCTGCTTATGCTGAGCATTCAGAAGGAGGAAAAGCCAAGTGAGCCAGTTTCACACACAGGCACGAGCACGTGAGGCAGCTGCCAGAGAGCAGCCACCACACAGCACCCGTCCTGGGCACACGGAGCCAGGCTGAGAGCTTTGTAACACCCCCGGCCATAACAGCACCTTGTACCCCTTCTCCTCAGGCTGCCTAAGGCCTCAAGGCTTTTAAAAAATATTTACAAAGTTATTTATGCTTTATGTGAATTATAGACTGCAAAAATGCAAAATCCCCTTGCTTGGCTCTTCAGGAAAGTAAGAGCCTGAAGGCTCATTGGCCCCAGGCAGCAGCACAGCAATTCTGCTCTGGCTGCTGACCTACAGGGTAAGACCCCAGCTTGAAAGGGCTGTTGCAATGAAACCAGAGTGTGAATTAAGCCTGAACCAGCGTGGACAGCTGGCCTGCTTGTAAAGAGCTGGAAAGCAGGGCCTGGGTGCTCTTTAATCACTTAGCACCCATTCCCTGCAAAATGGCTGTTGTTTGGACTTAACAGACACCACAATCAAAAGTGGTGCTGCAAGCATCTTCCATACTTCTTCTGAGCTCTTTCCTCAGCCCACCAATGTGCCCCCAGTAGTGTCTTTTCAAGGCATTCTCAATCCTCCTCAGGCCCCAGGAGGAGGTAGAGGTAGCAGGCAAGTGCCTGCTCCACTCCAAAATCACTGTCCTCCCCCGGATCCTTCATCTGCCTGTCTGTGCTCACTTTTCCCTAGGGATGCTGCAGGCCCTCACACCTGATCCCACTCCCATCCGCCGCAGACAGCCCTTGCCCAGCCGGCTGCTGTCACAGGGGACCCTCTTTTTCTTGTGCCCGACTTCTCTCCCTTGTCTGCAGCTCTTTGCTGGAGCCAAATGTTTACGCTCACCACACATGCTGTCAGCTGGCCAGAGACATCAATATCCCCATGGCAGAGCAACAAAGCCTTCCCAAGGATCCTTCGCGCCGCTCAGCCTGGGCTTTCCCACCCCTGCCCTCCTCCTGCGACCCCCACTGGCTTCAGAGGCTGCTGGGAGCATGGAGGAAAGGGATTAGGTCCTCATGGGGACTGTTTGTTTCCTTAGTTTTATCATGATTTCTTTTAATTTTGAAGTTGCATGAATATGAAGTGTACAAATCACTGGGATAATACTGTAGCTAATTTTATGGCATCTTTAGCACCATCCAAAATGGAAAAAAAAAAAAAAACTAACCAAGAAACAACCCTCCCCACAATGGTGCAATCTAAATAAAGCTTTTTAAGCAATGCAATATTTGCTTGTGTAGCTGTCAATGTTTCCACTGCCAGTTTGTCTTCCTAAAAGGAACCAAGCTTTGGCACAGCTTATATCAGGGAAAAATAACATCTTTAAGTGTTTCCAGGGGTGAATGTGATGAGGGGGATTATGGGAGTTATAATCACTAGAAGTGTGGTAAAATGTTGGCCTAAGAGCCCCAGAAAGGAAAGAGCCTCAATTTATCCAGATTTACTTGCCTGTGCTTGTGCCAGGGAGGGAGGGAGCGTTAGCAGGAGCTCTCGCAGCATTTGCACCTGAGCAGGTGCCAGCAGCCAAGGTGTGGGTCCTCCTCAGGAAGAGCCAACTGATAACGGGATATAATTTAATGTTCCCATTGCTAATGCCAAGGTGAGCTTAGCAAGCACGGGAACTGACACCCACTGCGAAACACGCTGCCATGGAAGGAGCTGTCCATATCTGCACGCATGGAGAGGCCCACGGACACGCGCCTGCCGACAGACACACACCCCAAAAAGCTGCCTCTCAGAAGTCCTGCTCTGTAGTGTAAGGAAGGCAGACAACTTTCTTGTCAGCAGCAGGTCTGCTTGAAGGAGAGGCTGTAGGACATGGCTCATTCGATGGTAGGGAGGGAACGTTTCTGCATTAATCACAAATCTCTTTTCTGTTTTTTCATTATTATCTTCTGCCTGATGTCAGTAGAGCCTGCTTGACAGTCTAACATGGCCAGGAATCGTATTTGATTTACAGAAGAGGTGGAAAGCTGAATAGGAAAAGGATTCAGATATTCCAAGGATCCTCATCCTGGTATCTCTCCATGACCGCACACATCACCCCTGAGGTCTTTTGGCACTGGAAGCTGACAGAGGAACCCCAAAGCTCCTCTTGTTGGCCAGGATGAGTTCCTGTAGTACCCTCTCAGGTATCTCAGGAAGCCACTTTTACCTCCATCCCATCCTCAGGTTACTAAATG